TACAACTTAAATAATATAAACCACACACAACCAAAACAAAAAATTAAATGGATTCTCTCGCTCTGCAAACAAAAATTGCTCTTTGATAAATGAGAACATTTTGGCACAGGATATATGACACTGTTCGACATATCCTGCTTCGTTTACCACCTCTGCTCTCTCATCTCTGTTTCACTGTCAGTGTGCGAGTGAGTAGGGGCGGTGCCAGCCTGGGAACTGTGTGTGCAAGTGTAATCTCCACAGAGAAGATGAGACGAGGAAGCAACGCAACTCGATCAAATACAGAGACAAACTAGTTCAATGTTTGGCACAGTGGTGCGACAAAGGAACATTTTCAGTCACACTTACTCTGGAGCCCTGTACTGGGACGAATAATTGAATAAATTTACATGGACACCAATATTCAGATCAGAGCCTGATCAAGCCATGCAAACTGCATTTCTGATGACCTTAACCTGAATGAGGTCATACAATAAGCAATAATCAAATCATAAAATGTATAGCACGGTGTACACCTTAATCACATTATAACTTCCTACTGGAGTTTTGATTGGAGCATTTTGTGACAGTTACCAACTGCTTCATGACACATGCCGTGGGTGTTGGGGTTTTCAAACCGACAGAATGATGTCATACAAAATGGCGTAGTCGATGTAATCATGGCCTCATCTCGCAACTTTGACTACTGTTCAGATTATTGTTTAAAAACGGACAAACAAGACAGTTCATGCTGCAGAGATTCTTCTAATAAGAAATGGGCTTCTGTGTTTGTTCTGAAACTTGTGTTGTTGAGTGGACCACAGATCGGAAAATGATACTGAGAGAACAAGGGTCAGCAGAATAGGTCAGTCTGCTCTCAAAGTGACTCATTATTGCAAGGATCACTGTCTTGAAGCCAAGTGTTCCTACTGATTCAGACCCTGCCTTGAGAGTAAAGGTTGAAACGACAAGCTGCAGTCTACACTGTAGTTTATATGCTATCTTTATTGGTATTGTGGTATCAACACTTTCTACAATAATGATGCTTAATTCATCTTAATTTTCTCTTCTTCTATCACTAATGCAGATATGTTACTAATTAGAAATAAGTGTTTGTGCTTTATTTGCCTGGTTTAGTAACCTAAGTTTTTTTCAGGCAAGAATTCAGGAGAGTGTCCAGAGTTTTATGAGGGTGGCTTTCACTTATGAAATGCAGTAGTCAATTCTCCAGCCAGATGTGTTCACAACAACACGGAAATCTCTGGATTGTTCAGGTGTGGGGTTGGGCAGCATGCAAGAGGCAGTACCAACCATATAGATTGTGCTGTGGTTATAGTGTATCTTTTGTTTACAGCACATTGACACAGGGGACAGCCCTTTCCGCCAAAAGCTCTTGAATCGCGTTGTCTTTCCATGTTGATCTTCTTCAGTGTCTTCTCTAGGAAGTGCCTTTTTAATGATACCAGGAGTGCCTTTCTAATGAATTAATGCTGCATCTCGATTTTACCCCTTATCATGTTTATGCTGAGACATTGCAAAGCACCACACACATTTGATTGATACATGCATTAAAGGGATAGTTCGCCAAACAACTAAAATTCACTGATTATCCACTCACCAGTATGCCGATAGAGGGTGGGTGAAGTGTTTCAGTCCACAAAACACTTTTGGAGTCTCAGGGGTAAACAGTGTTGCAGTCAAATCCAATACAATTGAAGTAAGTGGACCCCTTCTTCAGACATATACAAACAACAGAAAAAACATGCCTCCATATGAACTATCCTTTTAAGTTGAACTGAATGCTGGATGAATCTATATCACTCAAATATATTTTACATGGAATGACAGATTATTATTTGAACCTGTGTCTTCTCACAACACCAGCATGTCCTTCCACAGTTAATTTGAACACTACAGCCTAACTCAACCATGTATAGCTGCGCAGTTCATTTTGTGTAGACATCTTCCATGTGTGTTGTAGCTTTGTGAGTCTCCTCTCATTACCAGTGTTTGCTGCTTGATACAGCAGAAGAGAGGTGTGAACACATCCCTAATGAGCAAACCATTTGGGGGTAAATGAGGGTGGATTGCTACTGTAATTAGCTTCATCAGCATCAATGGCAGGATGTCCTTCTTCACCGTCGCCTAAGTCTGCTCCGGGGACACAAGAACAAAACAGGGAACAGTGTGTACATATACACTCCTATGGATAGCCAAGTAGATGTTTGCCCAGCGCTATTTGTTTGTTCTATTTCCATCGTATATAATTGGGAAACAGAACAGCTTCCAGACCCTCACACGCAAACATGCAGATACTTCCCCACCTTATCACTAATCCTAACTGCTGTTGGCTGCTAGGTCCTTTTCAGTTTTGCATTTTACAATGAAAACAATTTCCAACTGACGAGCCAGTAGAATGGCGTCATTGTGTTGCTGCTGACCGAAGGCTGGGGACAGAGGTGGCTGGCAGACTGCCTGGCTGGGTTGTGCTCACTTGTGACCCATGTGACAGTGAGTGGACAAGTTGAGTCTGTATATGAGTGAGCCAGTTTGGCCTCATGCCACCCCTGTTGACTGGACAAAGCAAATGCATGCCAGTGCCAAATGTCAACAAGACATTATCATTATTCTATTTTAACATTTGTGCAAAAAGAAGCAATGTTTGTATCAGGTTGTTTATTTTACATAACAACTGATGACATATACCAAAAGTTTGAGTGTGAGTGAGTGAGTGAGTGAGTGAGTCTGCTTTACACCAGGCAGTACATAGCAACCATAGCCATAGATTTATGCACCTAAATTCTGGGATCTGTGAGTCCAAATGCTCACCCGTGATCAACTTTGTAAGTTGCGTTACTTGGGTTGAGCCAATCTTTTTCAGTTTTCGGATAACCCTAGCTACCCTTCTCACTTAAAAGCAGTTTCAGATCCAGAATTTTTTCGAAATCATTTCACAGAGCGAGGCCATTAAAATGAGGTGCACATTAAAGTCATTCCTTGTTAGCTCTATGATTTTGAGCAAAGTCACACATCATTTAATATATTCTGAAAATTGTTCTTTGTTCAAGCAAATGTTGTCCTTCAAAATAGCTTGGAAAAAATCTTAACAAATTGTCATATTTACTGAAAGTGACTCTCATTTAAAAAAGACTATTAACAGGAAATTGGTACTCCACCAGCCAGTCAGATTTCAACTGGGGGCAGTTCCCCCCGGCCTTGTCCTTGGATCCTTTCCTGCTGAAAGGTGAAACTAGCTTTGCTGCATCAAGCTATAAAGCTGTTCGACTAGTGACACAGTCATTAATATGTAGAATAAACTCAGAATGTACTTGTTAATTTGTTGGTTGAGCTTTAGCTTGTACCAGATATCTCTTATCAGCCAGTTTCCCTGGTTGCTGTATTATTTATCCTGTAAAAAAACTGGGATCAATTTATTTTACGCTCACAAATGCTATATGCGATATTGTGGCCAGTTGATCATCTTACGGCTTATTGTGTCGCCTAACAATCTGCATCATTATGCAATGTTTCATCATTCCAATCTCAGTTAATGTCTGTTGACTCTGGACATCCACCCTTGAAGCCTGTGTTGCAATATACTGTATATAAATGTTGTTTTTTATCAGCCACTAAATACTAAGAGCAGCAATACTTCTCTGTACATCATTTTGATATTAAAAATTACAGTGAATAGATTCACAGCTACTCCTGAACAAACAGCGGCTCTCATTATAAGGTACAATCTAAAAGATTAGTAATTACTAAAAAAGGGGGGAAGTGATTTGATCAATTATTTTCTTACCAAACAGCCACAAAAGTAAACTTATTTAAAAGTAGTTTTTTTGTATAACAAAAATATACCTAAACATCTACTTACTAGGTTTCAGAGCTTTCAAGGTTTCAAAATTGTATGGTTCAAAACTGTTGCATGTTGGGTAGTTGCCTGTTGTATAGTTTCAAGTCCCATTTTATCGCTTACAAAAAATATTTTTCTTCTTTTTCAAATTTATCTCAAGACAATGTTTTTTTCCTACAGTCTGAAATTATGCAGTATGTGTGGTATCTTCAACTAATCATGTTTGTCACACAATGAAGAACAAACAGCCTCACTTATTGTTTCTCCCAGTTGTCCATTAATAGCTTATCTATGACAAATCTATAAAAAAATGGCCAATATAATGTCTCTCTATAAGTTTATGAGATGACATCTTCACTTTCAAAACCCACAGACACTCATCCTAAGATGAAGCAGCAAATCTGTACATTGAGATACTAGAACCATATTTGACATTTGGCATTTTTACTTTTTGAGTCACAGATTGATTATCAAAATAGTTGCTAATTAAATTAGTTAATGGACTAATAGTATCAGAATTAATTCAGTGTCACACCTTCTCATTTTTTTTACAGACTGTAACTCAGTGGGAGTACTGCAATGACCAGTCGACATCTTAGCCATGCAGAGAGAGTTAACTCCACAGACAAACAGCCACCTGCTGTGGCCCCCAAGCTCCATGTGCAGCGATCGCTGTCAACGGACAACATCACAATCCACTTCTCAGCTTTTGGGAAGGAGGAGGAGGAGGAGGAAGAAGAGCTGTACACTACATCTGTGTCCACTACCTCAACCGTGCAGGATGCCTCAAATATCGTGACAGCCCTAGAAGCCAGCGAGGAGATGTTTGAAGGGGTGCCAATGGAGTCTGCAGCCGAGGTTGCTATCATTCCTGAAACATCCAGACTTTCTCCCGTGTCGAGACATCACACTGTCAATTCTCCCACACAAACACAGTCAAGGTGTACTGCTGAGCAGAAAGGCTTAGTTTCCAGCTCCTCCCCCACTAAATCTTTGAGCTTTCCTTCAAGTGAAAAACCTTTTCTCAGTTTGGTGAAGTCTCTTTCCTCTGAAGTCCCTGAGACTCGTGACGGAGTCTCTTCTGTTCCTGCTCCATCAGTGAGGCACAGACATCTCATGAAGACTCTCGTCAAGTCTTTATCTTCAGACACAACCCAGGACTCCGCCTCCGCCTCCGCCTCCTCCTCCTCCTCCTCCTCTTCCACACCATACCGTCTTCCAGAATCCCGCCTTAACCTGCAACTTTTTAAGCAATTCACACAGTCCCGGATGCCGTCTGCTACTATGTTGTCAGCTGGTGACTCTAAAACTGCTCCTTCCTCTCCTTTGACTTCAACCGATAACCGCAGCTTCTTCAAAGTCTCAGATGTCGAGGCACGAATTGAAGACACTAAGCGTCGTCTTTCTGAAGTCATGTCAGAACCGCTCCAGCTGCTGAGTAAGATCATGGATGAAAAGAGCAGCAGCTTAGTTAGTGGCAGCATTTACCGGCCAAAGGCCCTCTCTGTCAGTGCCTCAGAACTCTGCAACATTACTTCTGTCAATGGTCACCTGGAGAGTAACAACAATAACTGCATCAAGGAGGAAGAAGTAGGTGACTGGGAGGATGAGAGCTCCAACAGTGGGGCCTCTGGTCCACCTGAAGCCCTGGTTCCCTCCACTGTTGACAGTAAGAGCCCCAACGCACCATCTTTACTTTCCATGTGTTCTATGTCTGCTCTTGCTAAACAGGATGATGATGACTTTTGCATCCTGCACAATGAGGACTTTGACACTTGCACTGACACAGAAGGAGATGGAGGTGATAGAACTAATGATACTGGAACTGGAAGTCAAACCAAAGTGCAAAGTGGTAGTACTGAACCATGCAGTGATGATGAATCTGAAAGTATTGTTCCAGTACCTAGTGTTCCTCACTATACTCTCATCACCCTCACCGTACTGGTCTATGGGTACTTTTTGTTACCTCTGCCCACCTACATTGGAGGAATGCTACTTGGGGTTGGGCTTGGATTTCTTTTAGCCATCGGTGTTGTGTGGCTAACGGGACCAAAACCTTCTGGTGGTTTTAGAAATTCCAGACACCATGGGAAGCTGTGGAATCAGATCAGGTTGGACATTAAGGAACCAGAAATCTATAAGGTCAGTTAATCTTTCCTCCGTTTTTGGTTTATTTCAGATTTTGATTTATCGGGTCCTGCACCAGAAGCCTTTAGCCCCTTAGAAATATTTCTGGTTGATTGCTTCTTTGAATTTCTAAAATGTTGACATTTTAGGGATGAAACACTATAATACTGATGCTGATTATTTTAAACAAAATGTCTTAAGGTAATACACAATGACCCACATAAATAAAGCATATTCAAGTGTTAAAAAACTCCACCACCTAAATTGACTGTATTTATATAGTGGTTTTTCAGTCTTATCAACCACACAAAGCACTTTACAGGAAAGTTGCATTCACTCATACACACACACATACAATGGTTCTATATGCAGCCCTTTTACCGTCACACCACTGCCCATCACAACATTCATACACTTCCACACATCAGGGGCGATTTGGTTATCTCACCCAAGGACACTTTTGGAATGACTGGAGTAGCTGGGAATCATACTACGACCTTCTCGTTGGTGGATGACCAGGTCCTTCTGAGCTAGGTCCCCTAACTCTGATCTGCAGTGGTTAAATCCAATTGATGTTTCCAACAATCCATCCATTATTCCCCCACTTTAATCTTCATGGTCATGGTGGGCTGGAGCCTACCCTGGCTCTCACTTGGGGAGACCAGCCTATCACAGACCTATACATGTAGAGGGGACCTTTTACACTGACTTTTATACTTACACACGTTTACATTTAAGTTCACAGTACTTGGCACTGCATCACCATCCCATCCTGTGAGGTTTTAAGATAAATTGTATGTGTTTATCATGCACAGTAGGTTAGTCTTATCTCATTTAAGGCACTGTATCTGTGGGATGACATGCAATTTAAGAAGCACATTTCCACACTCAAGTGAAAAAGTAGCTAATAAGTTAGATGTGCATCCTTAATATAGCCAGTGGAATTGAAAGCTCACTCACAAAGCAAATGACAACAAACTGTTTATGAGGTAACTTGAAAAGACGGCAGATACAAGATACCCTCTCATCAGTGTGAAGTTCATAGAGAGAGACATGTAACCTTTACCGTCAATGTTGTATGGGTGACAACACACTGTGATTAGATATTCAGAGTGTCCTCATTTGCCAGGCACAGTTTTGGATTGCCATCATCTTTCATGTTTGTAGTTGTTCAAAAGTGCTTCTCTCTCAAAGGGCACAATATATAAGTTTAAATCTTTACAGAGAGAGGATCATCAATATGTGGAAGCTTATTATGAAAGTTTCAGACATTAATCCTTGAAATGTAATCCAAATAATGGAAAGTCATAATGTCTTCCTTGCAGGGCTGGATGAATGAGATATCAAACTACGACCCAGAGACGTACCACGCCACACTGACCCACTCTGTCTTTGTCCGGTTGGAGGGCTCCACCATTCGTCTGTCTAAGCCCAACCACAACATTGCCCGCCGTGCTGCACACAATGAGCCTAAACCTGATGTCAACTACATCAGTCAGAAGATCTATGACCTTACCAACAGTAAGGTATGTTGTCACCCTATTTTTTTTTATGTGACTTGTTAATATAAATAGAAGTATATCCATCTGTAAAGCTTTGAGATCTTTATGGATATGTGTCCCTTATCTTTCAGTCACTTGTTAGTGTTGGATGTCAATGGTTATCACTCATTGAGCTGATACATTTCTGAATGATTTTAAAAACCATTTCTGAACAAGTCTATATGCACTTCATTATTTCATCGATATTGCAAATGCCATTCACCTAACATTGTATACCTTAGCTTATGGAATGGTTCCAGGTTGAAAAACCTCAGTAAAAAGATGGAAACCAAATATCATGAGATACGTTTTTCCCCTTAGGTATATCTAATGCCGCAGAGCCTGGCCAGGAAGCGTGTGTGGAACAAAAAATACCCAGTCTGCATCGAGCTTGGCAAACAGGATGACTTCATGTCAAAGGCGGAGGGGTGGGATGCCAGTGAGGGCACAAGCATAAGGGACAGAGGAGAGGGCAGCGGAGGACTACAGGAGCGAGGATCTCCATCTTCATCCAGTAGAGACCTGACCCTTTATCTGTTTGGAAGGACTGGAAGGGAGAAGGAGGAGTGGTTCCAGCGGTTCCTTTCTGCTTCGAGGCTCAAGGAAGACTTGAAGAAATCTTCCAGTGTTTCAGGCAGTAAAAGTGGTGAGAAAGTTGAAGTTTGTGTCTACAAACCCTCTACTGCTGTTGTAGAGTTTGTCTTTTTCTTAAGAAAAGTGGCACCACCAAACTAAAGCTTGGGTATTTTAAAATAGTAAAAAGTGAGAATGCTGCATCTAATTCCTTCCATAATTCTGACGTTTTCTGTGGCTCACAGTTCAGAGCTCTCACAGTCGCAGCAGCAGCCGTAGCAGTCTGGACGAGGTGCTGATTCCGCAACCAAGTGCCAAAACCAAGCCGCTGTTGGACTACAGTGTGTACATGGCCAGTTTACTGCCAGAACAGGCAACAGTCAGCGCTTCAACTGCCAGCCCTGTTCTCCTGAGTCCTCAGAGCAGCCCTGGAGCTGACAAGAAGGTAGCACTTTCTCATCCCCCTTTTACAAATTTTTCAGATCATTTTGCAGTTTAAGGCTTCATCCACACTACTACATTTTCTTTTGAAGACATCATTTTCAGAGCCTCTAAAACAGCATCTTAGCCATGCAGAGTTAACTCCAGAGACAAACAGCCACCTGCTGTGGCCCCCAAGCTCCATGTGCAGCTATCACTGTCAACGGACAACATCACAATCCACTTCTCAGCTTTCTGTAAGGACATTTAACGTGAAAATACAGTTTTCAAATGAAAACGTAGTAGTATGGATGTAGCCTTAATATCACTGTGTTACAGGTAGTGTAATTACAACAAGTGATACTGAGGGTGAAAGGGGTAGAATGACTTGTATTGTAGTGGATATAAATTTTGGCACAGACCCTCTGATGTTTTTAATATTTTGCCTGCTGTGTATTTAGCTTCAGAACAGCACTTCAGCTCAAGTGCAGCCCAGAGGGGACGAGGAGGCCGTTGCCTGGGTGAATGCGGCTCTTGGTCGGGTCTTCTGGGACTTTCTAAACGAGCCGTACTGGGCTGAAGTGGTCTCCAAGAAGATTCAGATGAAGCTCAGCAAGATACGGGTGAGTGGATCAAGGACCATAGCAACCCTCCCTTTTAGAACAGGGTTAAAATTTTAAGTTACAGTAGAGAAGAAGTAGAGTTGTAGTCATGTTTACCTTCCTGCTATAAACATGTGTCTAGTCACACACAGAGTGCACACACAGACACACGCACACACACACACATACATGCACACACACACACACACACACACACACACACACACACACACACACACACACACAAATATGCCCTCCAAATGTCAGTGTATATCTTTATCTTTGTAGCTCTTTAAAGGCCCCAGCAGCTCCACACTGGGCTTAGCAGCAGAGGGAAAGGAACCCCTCATCCTGGGTTTCGATCCCTTTGTCCCATTGTTTCTGTCTGATCTGGTACCCCAGGCCTGCCTTTCTTCCTTCATCTTGTAATTTGCTTTGGTCACTGTGACTGTTCACAGTATACCTTGTCAATAGCTGCAGGCAATATTGTAGTCTTAGTACAATAGTCCACCAAGGACTGAAGCACAGACAGATGATTACAAAGCATTGTTGAAGGCAGAGTGTAGCTTCCATGCTTATACTTGTATAGGAATTGTTTTAGTATTTTGGTTATGTCATCATCTGCAGATTAATTATTCATGTGCAGTGTGTTCAGCTGTATGAGTTGTATGCTTGTCTCTTTTTCCAGTTGCCTTACTTCATGAACGAGCTAACTCTGACAGAACTGGACATGGGCTCAGCTACTCCCAAAATCCTTGGGGCATCCAAGCCTTCAATTGACTACAGAGGCAAGAGAGAAATCGATTCCAAACAACAACACATTTGTACATCCAGACACTTGCACACAACGGGTGCCATAAAAAGATACCTCTCATGTATGGCTAGTAACACTTACTGCTCGACCTTAGGAGCTCTATATGCTATATTCTATATTCTTGTGTAGTATATGCTAAGTCAAAGAGCTTACCTCAGTGTTTCACCTCAACAACCCAACACCAGTCAGTTAGCTATGTCAAAATAAGAGATAACAAAGATAAACAATGCTAATAACCTATAATAGGTTTGGGTATATGAAGTATTACAGCTTTTACAAGATATTAGTGATGGAGGTCATGAGCTTGCACCCTGGACTAGTCAGTAAGTTACCTAAGCTGCATGTATTCTATTAGATTCACACACATGCATACTACATAAGATTAGCTAGAAATACAGGCATTTAAAATTCCACATTGGTTCCAGAATTTCTAAAGAGATGCACTTATGCAGCAACTGCAAATAGCCTCCTCCAGTTAAAAAAAATCTTATCTATTTACCAATTCAAGAAATCAGTCTGTCTTTATGTGGAACACTCATCTCAAAAGTGCAAGTTCAAATTAGGTATTGATCTGGTGATATGTTCATTAACAATAAACTTAAAAAAAAAACAGGCAATAAGCGCTTTGTAGAAGCTGTTGCTTGGACTCATTAGCGTAAATGACATTATCAATCAGGAAAACAGCATGTTCACAACAGTTGGCGCGTTCATGACATCAGCTACAACAACTGATTCTCCAGTTCAGGGTTCTGTGTACTGAGTGGAGCTTCACAGAATTTTGTTGAACAGGTGAACAGCACTTTGTGCAGCAGCAACATCAGATCCCTTTCACAGTTTCGGACAGAAAACTGCAGCCAGCATCACCACAGGCCAAGCAAACAGCCCATTTCAAACAAGCTGATTTACAACGGACACTGCACCAGTTTACACAAATGCATCTAAACCTGTGATGACTAGCTTTTTCCTGGCTCGCTCGCTCGCTCTCTCTCTCTCTCTCTCTCTCTCTCTATATATATATATATATTTGTAGATCAGTGTCCATCATTATATGCCAATCTAATGTTGCACCCTCGTACGTCTAGCTGTGTTTACACAAACACTAACCACAGTTTCACGGTTGTATAGTTTTATATTCTTTCACTGAACCACTTTTTTGTCAATGTTAGTGTCTATAATAAAAGGCTGTCGTACCTTTCTGTCACTAACCGAACTGCCTGCCTGCGCGCACCCTGCCCTTGCTATTACTGAGCATGACCAGAGTCTTCAGCTGCAGAGACAAACACCACTGAAGCCAGAAGTTGGTGAGGGGAGTCATGGAAAAGTTGACTTCTAGCAGTTGTCAGTCATTGCACGTTCTTGTGTTTTGGTGACATATCTTTGATGAGAGGGATGATGGTAGGGGGTAGGATGTATTGTTTTTTTTAAAGTGTAGCCTGCTCTTGCTAGCTTTTCCAAGATTACCAACCATAGCTTTAATTTAAAGTAGCAGTGGAAACAAATATTGAGATCAGTAATGAAAAAATACTTAAAACAAAGGTCCCATCATGATTTTTGTACTCATACTGTGCTGGTGGTAAGGAAGTCATGTACTTATGAATCAACATTGACACCACTTTTAAAAATGCAGTAATGGGTATGCGAAGATAAACACTTTTTTTTTAAGCCCCAACAAGTGGGAAATAGTTTCATCCATAACTAATAACAACATAAACCATTCTATTCAATAAGCATGCAAAATGAGCTTTATTGTGCATCATACTGTGGTGTAACACGCACTTACACGCACTCAGCTTGTCTAGCAGTGGTGCCCTCGAGGTTAGAGAAACATGCTTGATTCCTGTTGGCTCTTAGCTAGTTAAATAAAGTACAAACCTTTGCCTTACTTTACAGCTGCGGCCAGAGTGTCTGATAACACTGCTCAAAGTTCAGCACAGTTTTGTTTACTGGGACGCTGCAAAGTGTTACAAAAGGCATGTTTGTCTGATAAACATGAAGAGATCACTTTCAAAAAATATGTTATGTACTGAAACACTTCATAAACGAATAAGTAATAAGAGCAGCACTAAGCACTTCAGTAGATTATATGTGAATCATACAAATGTAGGTCTTAGCGTTGTGAAAGATCATATATTCACTAAGTCTCTAAAGTTTTTCGGTGAACTCTGCTCCAGTTGTGATCAGAAGAAGCTTTGTCTGCGTCATTTTTAGAGGAATCCTGTGATCTTTCCGACATGCATCAGCAATGAGCTTTCTATCACTTTTGTACCATGTTGCTTTTCTCATTTTCCTCTGACAGGTCTGTCTCCTCACCACTTTCACATGCGTCTCCAGCTCTCTTTCTAGTTTTCTCTTCCCCCTTGCATTCGCTTTCATATCATCTTCCTCTTTGTACCCTTAGTCACTCTTTATTCCCCAGTAGGTCTCTTCCTCCCGTTCCATGAGTCACTACTACATTTTTATCGCTGCAGCACTCACACAACCCTATAATGAGAGGAGGAATTAATTGCATCTCCAACTGAGATGGCAGAACAGTATTTCTCAGATCTGTTCCAGGCAAAACACACCTCAATAGCCACTCCAAATACATTCAGGGTATGTGTATTATAATATGGAAAGTGCAAATGTTTTGTGTCTTCCTAACAGATTGCACATGAGTTGATGCCACTGTGGCAAAGTGGCTCAATATTACACACACTGTATGTCTTGGAAGCGAAGGTCTTACTATCTACTTGGCTGTAGATAGCATAAGGTGTTTACTGATCATTGATCATGTTTCTCTTTTCAGCTGCTCATTCGTATGCAGTGAAACTGAATGTTTCCCCTCTTCTGCTTTTTTTGTCCATGATCAGTGAACCTTTTACTTTTGAGTGGCTGTTTGAAGACTTTCAGTGGAACCAGTTCAGTTTAGTTCCCCTTTTGAAATTTCCGCTGGTGTTACTGTAGCTGTATCCGCCAGGCATCTCAAGTTCTGCCTTTTCCTCGTCTCACCCCCCTCTCCTTCCTGGAACAAGCGTGCTGAGTGCAATGGATCGATGAACCTCTCCAGCTGTGTATGTGTGCATATGTCAACAAACAATTTTCTCTGCCTGCTTGTACCTTTATGTCCATGCAAATTCGTTTTTTTTAATGCCCTCTGTTGCCTTATGATTATGTTTTTACAATATAATGTTAATTGTAGGATGCATACAATCCATTAAACCCCAACACTTTTATTTACTATGTGAAAGTCTTTGCCATGTGGCATGTGGTCATCCCAGTTAACGAATCCATGCCCTTAGCCAGCTGCTCAGAGACTTTTTTCTCCTCTCCCCAAACTAACAGGACATAGTACCCTGCACCAATCCCTGACCCGGCCGGACATGGTCCTATTATTATAATGTATTATATATCTCAGGAGAGACGAGTGAACCAGATCCAGTTGGCTGAGCAGACCCAGCATGTTCACTCTGCCTCTCTGTCTTTCTGATTGTCTGACTGTTTATTTGTACTCAGTGCTTTCTCAAACCTCCTTTTGACTTTTTGAAACTCAATTTCTCTTCACTCCCGCTCTCTGAATGTTTCCCTCTCTGTCACACCAGACTTATTGCATTATCACTTCATTTAGCACAACTAGCTGGTGTTCAGGCAACAGAGCAGTGATGAGAAGGCATGTAACTTCAGTGCTGTTAGTCTTTGCAGTGTTTGCCTTCCATTGCTTATGATCATATCTAGAAAAACATTCTTTTTTTTCATGGGCTGTTGTTGGGAAAGCTAACTTAATCTAATTAAGCTTGCTGGTAACTGTGCACCAAAGGTGGCACTATGTTTTTGGAAAAATTTCTGGACTTACACAAAGTATATCTTCACATGTTTTTTTATTTATACCTAAGTGCTAAATGTTTCAGTTTCTAATCCTTAATGACTTTCATTATCTGACGCCCACTCATCACTTTACTCATCAGTTGTCCTTTGCTGCCGTCCAGTGGTGCACTGAGAACCCACACCCACATTTAAAGTTAGTTGTTGCTCTTTGTGTCACTGGAACATGTGATCTGTGTTGTGAGGAGAGAAAAAACAGAGATCAGAGTTTGCACTGATACAAGCCAGGCTTTCGGTAGACGCTTTTGAGGAGTTTGTATATCCAGATTACAGCAGGTTTAGCAGAGCAGGGGAAAATGAATAGAGGGAGAGCCCTGCTTATGCATCCAGTCCCCCCTGCTGATATCAAACGGGGGGCTTGAGGGGGAAGACTGCATGCTCTGCGACTGTTTCTCCTCTGTTCAAAAGACCTTATGATCTCTCCGTCTTTCTTCTCCCTCTCTTCGCTGGGTGTTTCGCTGTGTCGTTCTCATCTAAGCGAAGGGATCAAGAAAATAAAATCTGTCGGGGTCCCCGTTTCTGTTGATGCTCGAGGAAAAGAGGGGTGCCACAGAATAGCGGGGGTAGAATGCGAGAGGTGAGAAAACAAAGGAGTGAGAGAAAGATAGAGAGATGAGGCAGCTAGGATGACTGTGGCCGGAAGAGCTTTCCATGTCTCCACTACAATCAACTCTGCTTAAAACCTCATAAACACGGGTTTAACAATAAAATAAAATATTTAAGATGAGACAGATTTGTCAGCTGGTACTTTTTGACACAACTACATATGTATGGTCCCTGTTGGAGGATCTGTTTATCTATCTTGTATCCCAAAATAATACATTTAACAGTTTCACATCTCTCATCTGCATCTCAGATCAACATTTCTATGTTTCCCTCAGGTCTTTGGTTCGACTTGGAGATTTCCTACAGTGGCTCCTTCCTGATGACCTTGGAGACCAAGATGAACCTCATCCGCCTGGGCAAGGAGGGAGAAAGTCTTCGCTTAGGGGAATTTGGCAAAGATGGGTAAGACTGTCAAGCTCGATCATACCACATGCACATTTTACAGAAGCCCAGAGATATTTCTTGTTTGGATTTGTCTACTTTTCCCCCTCTACACGCATCAGCGCCAATCTCTCAATCTGACACCTTACCATTCTCAATTAGTGTTTTATATATTTTGTATGTTCTCCTTTCTTTCCACTGTTATGCTCTCTCTGCCCTCTGGATTCTACCTTTATGTGGCTGTTAATTGGATGCATTTCTGCTCCTGGTGAGTGCTGCTTGATTTTCAACAATCGTCGCCTCCGTTTGACTCTCATTTTCTAGTTTGTATGTCTATAGTTTGGGAGTTCTCTCATTTCATAACACCATCCAGTGCTTGATCTAAGTAGCTATTCATTTCTTAGGGTTTTTTCTGTGCTTTTTTCAATGTTTTTGGCCCTTTTCATCTTCTGAATGCATCCTCAGCAATGAAGAGAAACGCAATATGTTCTGCTACTACTTAAAAGTCTGAGAACACACTCCCTTTTCCAGTGTTCCTGAGATGTAAGCAGTTCAAGTCCAGTGAATAACAAGGTTAAATAAATCAACATATTATACCCTCCAACAATTTATTCATTCTATGCTCTAATTAAAAAAACTCTGAGACATTGAATCATGTAAATGTAAATAATAGCTGGAACCTGTATGTCCATACAGTCCATACAGTAGAGATTCACCAATCAATCTTTTTCTCTTCTCATACTGATGCTGATTGAATCTAGAACATACCACTTGTTATCCATACATGGATTACTGTGTCACTAAGATTGGATGAGTTCACAGACAGGGGAAACTCAGAATTTTCTGACATTGACAAAACATTTATTGATGGCTGACACCCTAAAACACTTAATATGCTTAGAGTCTGTGTCAGTATGAACATGACTTATTGATCAGTTTCATATGAAATAACATCTAAAGGTTCAAAACACTGAGCCTCAGCAGCAGTTTCTTACCGACTCGTTTTTCAAAACAATGACATTTCCAAAGGTTTATCACGTGTTTTTATCTCCAGACTAATGTTTTACATTTGTCGCACTGGTGCGCCCAAATTTTTCATTTAGGTGCATAAGGTCTTGATCGATTCAGTTCAGGATATTTCATTGAACAATACCTAGTCTGCTTGGATATTAAAGAAATTCTCAGAGAACTAAAGTGTTAAACTGCAAGGAAACCTCTAACTTGGTGCATCATTAGAAGGACATGACATGTCATGACAACAAATTTTGTCAGGTGATATTTTGTTCCAGAAATTATTGTGATCGTTTTGAGACCATTTTATGCCACTAATATTATGATAATATTCAATCAACAAAATTAGAAAACAACCGAGGAAAAGGTCACACTCTGAAGCTCTGATGTGTGAGCACCCCTGACTGTATCCACACCTCATTTGTGCATCATTCTGTTGGTACAATACAGTACAATTCAGCTGCGTAGCACAATAAAGCATTGTAGGACCATGTGCATGTCTTAGTGCATGAGTGTAGCTGTGCATGCATGCATTTTTGTTTGTGCGCACTCTAATCCATTTGTTTACTTGTTTCCAGACACAGGCCACGTACTTACTGCCTGGCTGATAGCGATGAAGAGTCGTCCAGCGCAGGCTCATCAGATGAGGAGGACTCCTCCGAGCTCTCAAATGACTCTGCAGGAGCCGAAGGGTGAGTTCACTTTTATATACAGTCTTTGTATAGCTGCTCAGGTAATAGTTTTAAAAAAATGTAACAGGGTTTAAATATAGACTGTGATCATCATTAAAGGAAAAATAGAGAAATTTTGTGTGTGTGTTTATGAAATGTAAAATTACAATACATTTTGTATGTGACTTTAACCCTAACCCTCCTTCTGCCGAATACAGTTTTGTTGGAGGCCACAAGCCGAGCAAGATCATGCGCTTTGTGGACAAGATTACCAAGTCCAAATACTTCCAGAAGGCCACAGAGACAGAGTTCATCAAAAAGAAGATGGAAGAAGTGTCCAACACCCCCCTCCTGCTCACAGTAGAGGTGCAGGAGCTCCAAGGAACACTGGCTGTCAACATACCCCCTCCACCCACTGATAGAATATGGTACGTGAAGAGAGTGTTGTTTTTTTCCTGCATAATTTGTGGAATGCCGTGCACAATCAGTTTCCATGATAAATAATCTTCTTTACAGATAACACTTTCCCAGACACAGGAAAACACAGGAGATTCTGTTGATAACAAAGGTCTTCAGATTGCTAACTCATACTCTTACTCCTCCCTCACGTCAGTCTCAATGACAAACACACTTTAATTTTTTATTACACATAATCATTTGAAACATCCCTACCAAAACTACCCAAAACTCATTCTACCTTGAAACTAAATGTTTTATTGAGAACATAAAATCTAGCTCTTTGTTCGGTGCTACATTGCCCTCTGCTGGTGCATATTGAGACTTATTTGTGAGCTGTTGAAAGAGCGCACAGTTTATTGTGTATTTGCGGTTGCAGGTATGGTTTTAGGACGCCACCTCACCTGGAACTGAAGGCGCGACCGAAGCTGGGAGAAAGAGAAGTCACTTTGCCTCATGTTACAGACTGGATAGAGAAAAAACTGAACCAGGAATTCCAGGTATTTATAGAAACTAACGTTCAAATTTTTATGTTCAGAATTAGAAATATCAATAGTGAGTTTGGAGATGAATGCAACTGAACTAATATAACATATTACAAACAGTTACTTAGGTTCAGTTACTTCTAACCACATTTTTAAGATGAAAGATCTCTATTTTTAGTCTGTACCATTCATGTTTTAGATGCCAAGACTTTGTCAGAACATCTAAAAAAAAAACTGTTATAAAACTCACTGTCCCCGCCTCAATCTGTTTCTCCTCCATTAGAAAGTTTTTGTAATGCCAAACATGGACGACGTGTGGCTGACCATCATGCATACTGCCATGGACCCTCGCACAGCCAGTGGACCATCAGTTGTCCCCACAGTCGACACAGAGCCTTCACAGCCAGAGAGCGACAGCTCCAGCCAGCCATAAAGATTGTTTACAGTATTTCCAAGAGCTTATGAAGTCCGAGATGGGAACTGGAGCCAAAGTCAATATGTCAGACACTACTGTAAGTGGATTTCTCACTTACCATAGAGAAGAATTTAAAGGAATAAGGTAGAGTTGACCAAGGATACTAACTGTTGCTTGCTGCTCTGTTCAGTAGTATTTACGGTGCCAGAGAAAAGTGTGTGTTGTCTTTGAAGGATTTATATAATAATAAGGACCTATTAAATAGGGACTGATATGTGAAGAGAGTTATGTGTGGTTTAAGTAAATAAGTGGCATATATGTGGATACAGAAGTTTATAATGTCCTCAATGAACACTGATGTGGAAGCATTCACCAGATACCTTACAGCCTGCAGATGAGTCTCTGCTGCAGCTTGAAAGTGAGATTGTGCATCGTAGCCCCTTTTTATAATAGAAACACAGCAAGTGGAGATTTACAGTATGCTAGTATGTTGTGAATTATTACTGTGTGAAGGTGTAGGCAGGAGAGGAAAGCACAGACATTTGATGTTTTGTTTATTTGCCAAAAAATGTTAAACCTTTAAGTGGCTTTATGTGAGCAGTTTCTGATCAGGTGTTAACAAACAGTATTCATTTGTGCTGTGACCACACCCTGAACACCTCCCATTCATTTGCCAAACCCCTCTTGTATACCAATTATGCCGTTATACATATCTGTGTGAAAATATTGCTCAAGCGCAAACGTACATAATGTAGGGGGAAGCATCGTTCACTCTGTAAATTCCACTTTAATGACAACAAGTGCAATGACAGAAACGCTACACAGGCTTTAGTATGATAATGTATAGACATTATATTGAAGTTCATGTCGGATGAGAAGTATGAGGCCTCTAACACATCAATTGAATGTATGTATTGGATATTTACTTTCTTTTGTGATTATACGAAAAAAGTTCTTACCCAGTTACAGTCTGGGTGGGGTATGCAAATTATTGCACAAATACAAATGAAATATTTCTTCTTTTTTTTTTTATGATAAACACTCATGTTGCATATATAGGTCATTCAACCGGTATGTTGATGAAGTGATGTGTTAATCTATTTATCATTTATACATTATGGGCGTTAATGTTAATGATGATATTGGAAGTAATTTTACATGACCATTTTTGATATGTGACAATGCTTTCATAAGCCTCTACCTGCCATGCTGTATGCGGAAAGACACACAGCGTAGGAAACAATACTTGGGTTAAGTTAGTATACATACTCTGTAGTAGAGCATTTATTGCCAAGAATGCATAGTCTTATTAACAGGTTGCCATTCTAAGACTACCTTTTAACGCTGTTTCTAATCTTAACCAAAGTCCTCTGATTGAGCAGATAGTGACAGATCTCTCAGCTTAAAGGTACACATCCTGCATCGGTATTGCTGTGTACATTTCCAAATGTGCTACAATAACTGCATTAACATTGTTTACAGGAATTATTACCTAGTTTTCATTTATTGCTCTTAGCACTGTAAGATTATTTTTTTTTCTGTATGATTGACTACCTTTTACGCCCTGGCTACTTTTTGTTTAGTATTTGTTTTGAATGACTACGTGAGATGGGCTAAGATTGTATTTTTTTGTATTTATTATTTTCTGCATCTTTGGAATAAACAGAATGAAATAAGAATTTTGAGGATATATGAAGGTTGTGTTATGATTTGTATCTGTGGGTTATTAATGAGTTTTTAGAATGTAAAATTTAATTTTAAGGCCAAATTCAGTGATTACATGTATCTGCCTCATTTATGGAGCTAAATAAATCTGTCGATGAAAACATCTTTGTGTGTCCTCAGTTGTAGACACAAATCTTACTAGATTTGTATTTATTTGTTCCAGATTGAAATTAAGCCTTTTCTCCCAAAGACTGTATACAGATACCATTTGTTAACAATCTTGTAACACTAATATATTTATATATATTTAGGCAGTCATCAATCAGTATGTAATACAACACTCAAATGTCTTGTGTGTTATGTGATCACATTAGGGGCCAGGGGCCACTCCTTGTCCTGCCTTGTGACGTTGCTGTGAGTGATATGGTACTAACCTGCTTTGTAAAAACAGCTAAGAAATAACTGATCAAAGAAAAAAACAAGAGCTCAGAAATGACATTTGGCCTCATTAGGACCAGGCTGAGATCCCCATGAGGTCAACTGGTCCTGATGAGGTCAGTGTTATACTGGAGAAGGTCCTGCAGAGGAACACACACACACGCACGCACGCACACGCACGCACACACACACGCACACACAGAAAGCTGCCTCCCGGACGGAAGTTTGCAGTTGCCTAGCAACGTCGTAGCGGTGGTTCCTCAGTTGTCCGCTGGTGAGTGTTGCAGATGTTAGAATGAAAGAAAACTGTTACTGTCGACTTGTTCAGACGAATGCTGGATTCATTGTATTTGTTCAGCAGCGTACATTAGCTGCCAACTATTCAAACTGTGGGTTAGCATCTTATTAAAGCTTCCTGCTTTAGCTCCATTGGCCACTCACTATGCTCAGGCTAACAAGCTACCGCTAAGCTAACGTTGGGATATATGTTGGTGGGTTTTTGTGTTTTCTGTAGCAGCTAAAACAAAGCTGGTTAAAAACAAAACTAAAATAGCACATGTCAGAAAAAGTCAATAAAGGGGGATAAAAACATACAGTATACTAGTACTACTAACAGACAGGTAACATTGAATAGAATCTAAAACATAGATGCAATAAAATAATGTCTATGAACAACACTCAAGCTAGAGCCAGGCTAAAGAGATGTAGCTTTTAAGGGGTTTAAGCTTGTGTTTAAAGACTTTGACACTTGTGGCTGCTGTGTGTACTCAGGTGGTGTTCCAGCGGCTTGGAGTGTAAAAAGTAAAAGCTGCCTCACTAAAAACATTTGTCTTTGGAACAGCCAACAGACTCACACCAGACCCGTGCTGGTTCATACACTGCAAGCCTGTATGTAAGAGCACTTGTTCATCATCACAGGTCCAATGCAGAGCGCTATGGAAGGAAGGTACAGCCAAGATGACAAAGACCTGGAGCCACAGGGAGGAGTGGCATCAGAGGACAGGGCAGCGACTGATTCTGGTTGGTCACCCACTAAAGCTGCTGGGATTTACAATTCAGTACAAAGCTGCAGAGTGTGACACAACATAGCACTGTTCAGTGCATTCACATTTAAAAACAAGTAACACAGACATATTCACAATTTACGTAAGAAGGTAAATAAGTAAAACAGCTCATTTAGGTTGGTTTGCCGAGGATTGCATAGTTCAAATGTCCTTTACTACCATTAATTAATTCAGAATTATTATGGGAAAACTTGTTCACAAGATTATGTCCATAAGCTTACAATCATTTCTTTTAAATAAACTTTATTCGTCCTCCTAATATTTGCATTGAAAAAACAGTTTATCTTAGCATAGTCACAAGTTCAGTATCACACAGCAGTGTGGATCATTTTTTACATCATATTTTGTTGATTCATATTAAGAATGACTTTTATTTCCTGTCTTTCAGGTGAAGACAACGCTGCTCAGATGCCGGTGACTTTTAACCTCTCAAACCTCAACACAGAAGACATGGAGGATGAGGAGCCACTGCTGGAGGATGAGGAAGAGGAGGAATTTCTTGTTCTAGATCCTGAACATGTGTGTAGTTTCTCCTTAATATTTATGTGATCAGATCAGAAGTTGCCTCCATTCATAACTGTTTTAAGTTTTGAGTTTATTTTCATAATATTAGATATCTTCATTTCCCATTCCCACTGTCATTGTTTCAATGTTTCCTCTTTTGACAGCCTCTGGTCAGAAGGCAACAAGCTGCTCTGAACAAACAGCTGAGAGAGAAGCTGGAGAGGATCGATCTGGAGTTAAAGGAAAAGGTTGTTTCATTTTCTTTAACTATATGGTCTCAGTATGTCCAGAAGATGGTGCTACTGAGCTGTTTAGAATGTGGWCTARTTRTGGATTGTTATTCCTTTGTGCAGCATGCACATTTTAAGGAGAGCATYAACATTTTAACAATGAAAAGCAATCAACAAACTAAACACCTTTGAGAAAGATGTGTTCAGGACAATAGAAAGCCAGAGTAAAACCTTCTGGATACTTTGTCTGATTCCTGATTTTGCTCTCTCTTCCTCTGCCACAGCTGGCAATGGAGAAGGCAGAGGCCAGCCTCATACAGGAGAAGGGTTTGAAGATGTTCAGGATTCAGGAGCAACTGGCCAGACTCCACACAAGGCTGGAGGAGCAAAATCAGAACAAGGCACAGGCTGAAACTGAATATCGGCAGGCCCAGGATCAGCTGGAGGCAGGAAATAGCCGCTTTTCCAACATTAGCAGCCAGCARAGCAAAGCCAAAGCCGATGGTGAGTCTGATTTTCTATTTGGGGGTTGGGGGTCTTGCTTTGGTTTTAGGATTATATTTCATTCTCACTGTGTTGCACCATGTAATTTAAACACTTATGAACAAGATTTCTAATTAAATCTATGATGAGTTTTACACTTGGAATTATGAGCGATATAACATAACATTTAACTTAGTGAAGTCGGGCTTATCCTTTATTATGATTGTTATTATTATCTTATTTAAAATTCAGAAACCGTAGTCTGGATCCGCTTAAACACCCAAACATGCATTTGTCAGTGCTGCCAAGGGAAAGAAGAATAAATTCTCCCAACAGCATAAAATATTAGGATTATTAGAAGTTGGAGCATGTTTCTTATTAATCTAGAGTTGGATTCTCAGTCATCCACAAATGATGCAGCTGCAGATGTTGATTAAAACACATGGGTCCAGATTTTAGTGCAACATGATAAGACACATTTCAATAGAAAGCTAAATCAACTCTCATGTTTAATTAAATRAGCTTGAAATTATAAGTTTGAATGTTTACACAGAACATTCAACAGTTAAATCTAAATTGATATAGTTTTGAGCATCATCACATTTAGTGCTTAGTTGGCTTTGTATGAAATACTTTAGTCCATTGACCATAAACACAGTTTCAGCACCAGTAAGACWGAATCAGTGTCAGTCCATGTTTCCAAACTAAAGATCTGAGGCTTTGTGTTAATGTTTACCACTGTGTATCTTCTCCAGTGTCCCAGCTACAGGCAGAGGTGGACGTCTTGTCGCTGCACCTCGTCTTCGCTCAGAGAGCCTGTGAAGATCTGCATTCCAACGTCAAAGCCATGAGGACCACCACACGCAAAGCAGGAGCTGACAAGAGTCAGGCTGAAGAGCAGAAACTGATGCAGGTGGACAGGAGGAAGTGGGGCACATTAACAATATCAGCTCATTTGAAGCTTTAACTGTATTAGACACATAATCATTGATTCATTAATTCACTGTCCTTGGTTGAAAATATTGTTTCATTAGGATTTATATGTGGATCGTCTGACGAAGGAACTGGAGAGGCTGACTGAGCAGGTTGCCATGTATGAGGCCCAGACCAGTGCTCAAGCAGAGGAGAGCCATGCAGCCAAACAAGCCCACTCTGAGGTAACTATAGGCTGAAATAAGTTAGTATTTACTGTTTCTGTAAGGTCAAAATGCCTTTGGTCATCAACCTTAGTTTAAATGAATGCTACTATTACCAGGACAATCATTTGCTGTTAACCAACAGGATTAAAGATTAGAGAACAGTGGTACAGCTGTGAAGAACAAAATGACACAAATGACAGTGTTAGAAAACACTWTTAAATTATGTACACCATAAGTTGGAGCTGTGTTTCTGGCCACATTAATTCTCCTGATGATCTTGTGAGATAAGCATCTGGCTCCTCAGCAGCCTAATGGGGCTCAGAGTTTACCTGCTATTTGTTAACTATTAGCAATCAGTTTACGCAAAACAGTGAGCACTGCAGCATCAGGTGAATGTGACACCTTCCATATTCCACATTTAATCCYTGTTAATGTAAAGATATTAATTTCTGTACTTCTAAACGATTAAAAACATGAATCAAATGACTGCGATCGATATGAACAAGGTGGTCTTTGGCATAAAAAGWAMTGTACAMCTTGCAGTAACTAATAGTTTATGTGTGAGATTATTATGACAGTATCAGGGTCTGTCTTGTCCACATTCATAGGTTCTCTTCTAAATGTAACCTTCCGATATACATTGTTTGTCTCTCATATTATATGAGTGTTGGTGAAGTGTCTGTACAACACTGGCAATGCCACATGTCCACATGTTTGTGTCTGTATGCAGGTTGAGATGGAGATGGAGTCTCTGGTGATAATGCGTAAACAGCTGCTGCAGCTGTGGAACAGCAGCATGATGAACTTGAGGAGACGGGATGAGGAACTCAGCAAGATGCAGGAGGCTGTGCGGTGAGAATTAGGGCAAGCAAGGGATGAATATTAATATGCCAATGAAAACTAAAAAATACTGTTGCTATGATAAATGCAGGTCGAGGAGTGGCCAACTTGAGAATAACAAAAATAATAAACCAAGTCATAAGTAGCCACAGAAACAGCTTGCAAGCAGTTTTTCACCATTACCTCTGCCAAGGACATTATGTTTTCATGTGCATTTGTTTCTGTTCGTTACTGAGCACTCAATTATTAAACTGATTTCCATTAAATTTCCCAGAGGTGTGTGGTGCATGTCAAGGAAGACCAATTTAAATTTTGGAGTAAATCTTTTCCCACTTACTTTGACATAGCAAAAAAAAAGCATGCATTTACACTTGCTTTTCTGCTGTATCTGTTTCCCAAAGCATAAAAGAGCAGCAGCTGATCTTATTGGACAGAGAGATAGAAGGCTACAGGAAATCCACCACTGAAGAACWGGAGAAGAATGAGACACTGACTCTGCAGCTGAACTGGTCCCAGATGGATGGAGCCACCTCCAGAAATCTGATCAGTCAGAAGCAGGCCCAGTACGAGGCTCTGCAGGCAGAATACAGCACCTGCATCCGCATCCTGAGGGACTCTGAGAACACCTTGGACAGACTCACAAAGGTGTTTAGAGGGCAAAGCCTTCTGTGTTCATCCCYACAGTCGTCCCACTCTTTCTCCCTTGATAATTATRTCACACACTTTCTGTATCCCCATCTTCTCCTTCGTCATTCTAGGAAACCAGTAGCCACCAGGCTCAACTGAATAATCAGAGGAAGCAGTTGGAGAAAGAGAATGCTGGGCGTCTGGAGCTGGAGGACAAGATCATGACCCACATGCAGCAGAAGCTCACCCACAACAAGGCTGCTAAGTACTCCCAAAAGCTCACCAGCAAGACAGCTGCACTCAAGAAAGAAAAGGTAAGGATGTCATTTTAGAAAGATAGAAGAAGCATCCAGAGACAGTGCAGAGTCCTTCCATGTACACTTAAGAAGTCATGTTGTRATTGTTATTACCATTTGATTTAATATACAGTATATTTGCAGGCCTTCAGTTTCAAACTAGTATTTTAGAAAAATAAAGTGTCATTCCATATATAATATATATAATAATATTATATATATATATGTGTGTGTGTGACTGTAGAATATGAAAAATTCACAAGAGACAGCTTTAATTTGGACACAAAAAAAGGATCCAAATTAAATCAGAAGAGATGTCTGGGTTTTTATTTTCTCTAGCTTCTGTCATTAGACGTCCCCTCGCCTCCTAAATACCCCCTTTTTTCAAATTTCATACCATTAATCTGTTACTAGGGCTTTCTGTCTGAGGCCCAAGCCAGGATAAGATTTTTCAAACATTATTAAGGTCCATTCAGGGCCATAGAAGACATCATATCCCTGATACACAGACTGAGTGAGACTGGAGTGTTTGTTTATTATGCAACAGATCATGGAAAACAGAATGAATAGTGATTAGGGAAGGAGAAAGGATGCAATGTAAAAATGGTCTAATGTATAAAGTTAGAAAAACACAAATCAACATATGTACAATAACCTAAGTATCCAAACACAATTTAATATTACACTATTGTCTCTCTTATCTCTCTCTCCCCTATAGATCTTTCAGCTGTGGCAGCTGGAGAATGAGGTGGTGGTGCAGGAACTGGAGAGCAACAAGGTCAGCCAGCATCTGAAGAGCCTCTCCCTCGCTCAGGAAGCCCTCAATGAGGAGATCGCAAAGAACCACAAGTTTCTCACGTCCAACCAGGCCAAGATTTCTTCCTTCAATACATTGATCAAACAGAAAGACGCCACCATTGCCACCTACAACAGAAAGATCAGTCAAATCGCAGCCAACACTGGGGTGAGAGATTCTGGAGAAGAAATCCCTGGTTTATGTGGATTATTTAATAATGAGCTATTTGAATTTTGAAGTACAATCTTAAGAGTCAGATACTGTATATAGTAAAAACTAGATTATTTTGGGATGTGATGACACCATGTTCAATGCCTGTCAACATGCTGATTTTCCAGCTCATAAGTAATGATAAGTTATGACTAAATTATTACATAACTRAGTGCTCATGGGTCAGACCACACCCATCTTCTTACTTGGCCTCCATTTTGATCTAGACTTTTTTGAACAGTTGCAACACTATCACTGGACTCCAAACCTGTCCGTAGACAAAAGACATGAACACCTGCCATGGTGACAGAGAAAACAATACCAGCTCTGCTTTTGTGCCTCATAATTACATGTTATCTTTGTGATTTGCTTGCRTTCTTTMCCAGSYTGAAGACCTAAYTCCTCTGCAAATCAAGGTAGAGGCATTGAAGGCTGAGATCGAGGWGCTGGKAGCGAATATCAAGYATGACCAGCAGCTCTGGATGAAACGTCAGGGGATGCTAGTAGGACTGACGCAGGAAATAGAGGCCAACAGCAAGAACATGCTCAAACTGCAGATAGAGCACACTGTCATGCAGCAGAAGAAAATACATTTCAAGAGTACGTAATGTTCTTAACAAGCACACACATGCGTGAATAGGTAGACACATCCAAGTCAATGAGTAAAAGTCACTAAGTTAATTATAGACTACTAATGATTTTTAGCTTGTAAATGGCAAATGACATGTCTGAGAATGTAACTTTTATTTAACGGAGTACATGTATTTCATTACTTAAGCTTCTAAAAAAAGATAAGACTTATTGATCCGACGCTGGGGGAAATTCCCTTGTTATGTACGAGGAGATAGTGAAAATAGACATCTTCACAGACATACATATATAGACTGTTAAAAGCATACAGACAGGTAGGGTATAAAAATGTTATGTACTCAATATATATATATTTCACCATAGTATATTAAAATAGCAGTATGCTATATATAGTGTAACTATGCTCAACCTGTACACTTCCTCTGATGCCCTCTCCCCCACCATCAGATCAGATTGAAGCAGAGCACCAAGAGCAGAGAGAGCTGGAGAAGAACACCAAGATGCTGAGAGGAGACCTGCTGAAGCTCAACACCATGCTCAGCAAGAACGGACAGCTCAGCCAGGCACTGGAGCAGGAGAATGTGCTGATGGAGTCAGATTTTCTGAACAGACTTAAGGCATGGCATGGCTGATAAATTCWGCTTTGATTGTTTTTATTCTCTGCACTTTTCATAGTAAATATTAATAAACGTGAAATATAATGTGTGTGTGTCTAGGAGGCAGAGCAGGAGTCAGTGGAGATCCAGATGACTTATGAGAAGACCCAGGATGAAAAAGAAAGACTCCTCAACAGTCTGGTGGAAGCTGAGTGAGTCACATACCATCTTTTGCATGTTCGGGTTGAGTTAAGATCTGTGTCTGTGTGACAATTATCTAGAATATTTTATTTTTAATTATGAAATATTTTAAAACAAACAAAGCCTTCAACATTAGGGCAGACACTAAATGTCCTGCCTCCACACTCCCCCACTGACCTGTACTCACGTTGCTCTTGAACATTATGCATCAAAACAAATCAGAAGTTATTAAGACCTGTACAGTACTTGGACTTACTTGTTTGATTCGTTCTAAAATTTATGAGACATGCATTTAAACACATTGAGGAAAAAGTCCAACATTGTGCACACGCACTTTCCCATGCCACACACAACACGAGACGTGCACAGCCATGACATTGAGATTAAAGTGACCAGAACGACCCTGATACACAATCTGAAACCATCAATTAATCAATTAATATGATTTTCGGTTTGTGTGTGAGGATCGGCAGACACGAGCAGAAGCTGATACATTTTTCACACCATTTTAAAGGAATAGTTCACCAAAAAATGAAAATTCACTCATTATCTACTCACCACTATGCTGATGGAGGGGTGGGTGAAGTGTTTGAGTCCACAAAACACTTAAGGAGTTTCAGGGGTAAACAGTGTTGCTGCCTTGGCTTAATTAACCATAATACTGTAATAAAACAACAGAAAAAACATAACATGCCTCTATACTGCTCGTATGGTGTCCTCCAAGTGTCTGCAGCTAGACTGGATGACACCACAGGAGCAGTATGGAGGCATTTTTACATGCATCCTTTGTTGGGTTCATGTGTTGTGTGTGTGTGTGTGTGTGTGTGTGACCTGCAGGTGGCAGATCATGCTGTGGGAGAAGAAGATCCAGCTTGTAAAAGAGACTCGCTCAGCTTTGAACTCTGAGGGGGTCCAGGGAGAAATCCAGATGATGAAGGCTGAGATACATCATATGGAGGTAAACACAGCACACACAATAAATAATAAACAAAGCAAACAATAAAATTTGATTTATGATATGTGAGTTTGTTTACTCTCATTTAATACTTGTGTGTTAGGTGCAACTCAACCAACTGATGAGGCAGCAAGAGCAGTTGCTAAGGGAGAGTGAAGATGTAGTGGTGAGGAGGGAGACTATCGTTCAGCGTAGGGAGGCCATGGTCCGCAGCTCCCAGAAACAGGCTACAAAGAGCGAGCTGAGCCGCAGCGCACAGGGCCTGCGGCGCCGGATCAAGGACGTACACAAGGTAGGACACATGTTATGATCATTCATGTCTGTTAGGTACATTATCTTATCTTATATGCATCATTCATCTCTTCAGCATGTGGCTGAGTGTGAGAAGGTGATCCAGGACCAACAGGAGAGCCAGGGGGATCTGGCTGACAAGCTTGCAAAGCAGAAGCAGCAGCTGATAGAACTGTGTGGCACCAGCTACACCCTGGATTCTGAGTTTGCTAATCTCAAGGACACTAAAATAAGCGTAAGGAGCTTTAAAATGCTGTTTCGCTAGTTTCTGTTGAGTGTAACTGACTCTTCACTGTATTGAAATCTTATACAGTCTTATTTTTTAAGCTTACTATATTATAGCTGACATGTGTCAATCAAGTCTCTTTTCAGAGGTGAAATAGGCTCCTTCTGTCTACTACCTTTAATTGTTGCTATTGATGTGTTGAAGGTGTGGTGAGAATACTTGTTAAAGCATTTTCCAGGCCAGGTAGACACAACTGTAGATTTACTGTCTAGAGCATTTCAGTTTCCACTCTTGGAACCACTCCCACTTAGCAAGCATACCAGATATAGCAAGTCATTGTTTTCCACTTTCTGACATCAGTTTGAAAACATAAGTGAAAACATGAATCACATCCACTCTCATTCTTTACATTTTCCTCCCTCTAGAACCTAGCTCACCTGGTGGCTCTACAGAGCCGGACCAAGAAGCTGCAGGGGGTGTGCCAGGGCCGCTACAGAGCTTCGTCCACCAGTGAGTCAGTCAGAGCCGCTCTGCAAACCCAGACTGAACGTGTGCACGCTACCAGCGCCATCTTGCACAGAGTCTGTGAGGAGTTTCCCCAGCACCAGGGGCCACTCCGCAGGCTAATGTTAGCATTGGCAGGTTGTGCTCAGGCCCTAGATCAGGAGGAATCCTGAAAGTGTGCGAGACAATGTAAAGATGACAGTTATTACAGGAAGAGGAAGTGAGTAACATTAGAATGGGATGAGAGACAAAGATAAGTGATGAATTGTGTCCATTACAATGTCATCAAATAAAGTCTTGATGAAACATCGATCAGAAACAATTACATCCCTCTCTGTTTGGCTTTTTCAGTCCAGAAAAAAACCGAGTCATATAACACAACAGATGATAGAGCTTTAAAATATTTTAAGAGACAGTCAGACACTAGTTTGAAGGCAGTTTGCAGGTCACGCCATTTAAATGTTGCATAATACAAGAGACCAGTTCTGCCAACATTAATGTCTACATGTGGAATGCGTGCTGCAGCTACTAGATTTAAATTGCCACTATGAACTGAATATACTTTGTGCACAAAATGTTTGTACACATACACAACAACATATAGCTGACACTTTATTGACACTTGTCATTATGGTCAACCTAATGCACAATTTCCTTTGAAAAAATCAATTCAATTTTTTAATAAACTTTTATTTACACCAGTGTCCCACTGGAATCTGCAAACATTGTATTATATTGTGGATGGTGGTGTGGCAGCTCGAGCTAAATTAAAAAGAAAACAGAGAAAAATATCAATTTTATATATCAAAATTGTTTTACATTGGATGTACTGTATGTCTGTGAGTGAATATATAAAGATCGTACTCTGACAAAAAGCTTTTGCTGTCTAGATAGGGCAATATTATTATGTTTAATGACACATGAAATGTGTCAGTACCTGCACATTTACTATGGGCAGACATTCATCTTCATAATCAGCTATTGAATTAATCTGGTCACTCCTGTCCAGGCTAAAAAAGGCAGTTACACCTGATCATAATCACATTTGTGTTATTTGATATTGTTGTGTGTCACTTGTTCAATACGTTCCTGGATTTAATACAGCTGATAACAGCAGCAGCTGCAGGCCTTTCTTGATAGCAGCACTTCATCTGCTGCAGGCAACAGGAGCGTGAAGGGTGAATACGTTCTCACTGAATGTTGTAGAACTGGCTCAAAAATGTTGTGTGTTCTACAGGAGCACTGTCCTGTACTTTGTCTCTGAGGACATTCCACAGTGCCTGGAGGCACCATGTAGAGTAAATTGTCACCAGAACTGGCAGCAGGTGTGCACAGGCTTGGCACGACAAACAGCTAACACTCCTTGAATCTAAACTTTAACACACCAAACCAATATTTACAGTACTGAGTGGATAGGGGAAATTACTTACACCCACACATTATTTTGTACTGGCTGCTTTTGGTTACAGCAAAGTTCCACAGACTATATTAAGCGTGTTAAGGGAAAGCCCCACAGATTTTTCTAGGGAAGGAAAATTTGCTGTGGAATGTGTCAAGGCATGTGCACTCGTAAAACGACTGTGTTGTTAGCTGTTTGTGTTATTACCAAGCAGACAGATATGGTGTTGTTTTCTACAAATGATGTGTTGTTTGATCTGAATGATTGGACCCACACAACATGTGTTACAGCATTGACCAATCACGTCGCTTCCTAAACATCTCTACAAGTTCGGGGGAAGCATCCTTTGAAAAAGGCAAAAACCATGGCAACCGCCACCATGCTATGCCCACACACCAGCAAACTGAAGGTAAATGCAGGTTTCTGGTAACAACACTATTTCCTTAAATAAAAGCATGGCTATATAAGCTACTAAATGCCAGGACTTTGTTGGAAATTGAGCATCTTCTTGTAACTGTAATTGTACGGATCCACTAAGGCTAATCTGGCTTGATAAGCCATAGCTATTTAGCCAGAGTGTGTAGCTGACTTAGTTAGCTCGCTCAATACTAACATCTATGTGTACAGTAATGCAAATACAGCCCAATACCTGTCAGAAGTACCGGAAAAGGACCTGAACCAATTTTATAATTCAACAGGATAACCATCTACTGAATGTAAAAATAAATGTCTCCCCTTGTCCATTGTGATTGAACTAGTTTTAATCAGTCTGTTGTAGATAACTTTACTTGACCTCTAGTTGGAACCTAGTCCCAATCTGCATGTCTCTGGACAGTGGGAGGAAGCCAAAGAGAAAACTCATATGAACACAAGGAGAACATACGAACTCCACACAGAAAGACCCCAGCTGGACCACCACCCTTCCACCTAAAAAAAAGAACTGGGGAAAAAAGGTAACATTAATTGTTCTGTATCTGTCTTTAGGTGCTGCAAAGGATGTTTAATATTTCCACTGTGCACATTAATAAGAAATGGATCTATCATGAACATACACTATGCAGTGTAAGAACTGCAATTAAAACTTTTCTCTTAAAAAAATTGCCTTTATACTTACCAGAAATATTTCTGCTTATCTTAAAAACTAGTAACCGTGTAGTGTTGTCACTTTGTTACAGAGAAATTCATGAAGCTCCTTTTCTTTCAGTCAGACTTGAGAGGTCAGAGATGACCTTGATATTTGTGAGACATGTCAAGTTCTATATGCGTAGCATGGACAGTTTATTCATTTGGTTGATAAACTTTTTATGAGTGTAATTTACTAACTTCTTCAACTTGTCATGCGGCTAAATACGAGGAATCATAACATATATTGTTCTTGTGATTTTTTAATATGCTTTTCATACACACCAGTGTCCCACAATGCACTGCCCACAGGAAATGAATGTAATCTGCAAACCATTGGGGTAAATTGTGTACGGGGGTGTGGCAGCTCCAGCAAATCTTCAAGAAAAAAAACTTTGGTATTTTAAATTGCAACTTACATGCACCTCTGCCCCCTTTCATCAAAACTTCCTATATGATCTTAAACCATGTCGTCAATTAACATAAGACATAAACATAAACACAAAAATACAGTTTCAAATATTTTGTTTTCTTAAATGTTTACAATTAAAATGTTTTTTATCAAACAATCTCTTTAATTTAACATATTTCCTGGGACTGGTCATATCACTACATATCCTACATCCTCTAAACTCTTTTTGTCAGTATATAATTTACAGTTGGCAGCTTCCACTTGTTTGCATAAACTATTTACAGTACAGCAAACAGAAGTTTTCCACATGATGGTGGTAAGTTAGCTAGCATGTGAAGCATGAGGAACCCTTATTTCCTTCTTAAACAGAGGACTTTGAACTTCACTCGTCACTGTTTGCTGCTCTGACTGTGGTATGTCTGTTTGCTCAGCTGTGATTAGAAATTATTGAGGCCAACTTGCATGCAGTCTGTTTCTGTGCTACGAGAGGCATGGTTCTCTTATGCCACAAGTTGCACCTTGACTCCTGTCAACAAACAGATCTGGCTTCATTCATTAATAAAGCGAGACAGAGGTTTATGATGGGATCAGATATTGAATCAGCTGCTTAAAGCAAATTGAGGACTGTATGTGTGGCTCACTTGACTCATGGTGTGTGTGTGTGTGTGTGTGTGTGTGTGTGTGTGTGTGTGTGTGTGTGTGTGTGTGTGTGTGCATCTCAAATGTGAATGTGTGTGAGAGGCTGTATTTCAGCTCTGTTTACACCAGCGTGTATTTATACCTGGCTCACAGAGGGCCTGTCTTACAGGTTTGTCCTACACGCCCACACACGCAAGCAGTGCTTTGACAAAAACACCCATGGGGTGGGGAAAGTTGCCGATCCTTTTATAATGCTTTTCTGCTTCATCCGGTAATATTTGCTTCCAGGAAGGAATATGTGATCAGTGTCTATTCAGCTGTTGGTGTCTGCTTGCTCTGTCTGCTCCAGCCTCAGAGGGCAGACAACGCTCAGTTCTTCAAACATATACCCACACACTCAGGATGGCAGGGGATTGTGTTCCATGCGAGGGTCCAGACCTGAAGAAGATGGGTGAGGAGGAACTGTGGGAACTGATAAATGACAACCGCCACAGGATCTCATTAGGGGTACGGCCATGCATCTTGATCCCGTACCTGAGGCAGGCCAGGGTGCTCACGGAGATGGACGAGGACGAGATCATCTCCTGCCACAACCTCACTAACCGCTGCATGAGAACCAGTGAGTTTTGATTTGACCTGTTAATGTTTGGATTGTTGGAAAGAAAGTTTTTGTATTGTAGTCAGTGTGTAGCCAACAAATGGATTCTGTTTTTACCACTTTTACTGTGCCTGAGTAGTTGACACTGACTGTTGAGAGCATTGCCTAGAGCAGGGGTCACCAACACGGTGCCCGCAGGCACCATGAGTCGCCCCCAGGCATGTTCTAAAAATAACTCACCAGTGAGCTGCTTCTAAAATTTGATATCTGTTTCTGATTAAATGTAATTATCTAAAATGGAACATTTTTCTTATGAAATGTTGTAGAAGTGTTCATCTGAAAATGTAAACAATTGCTGAGATTAATAGAAATAAAGTGTTGAATATTGATATTATCTGTTTCCCACCTTGTTAAGTCATTGTTGATAATTATTGTGAGAAATCATTCACGTGATCAGTGTCTTCACATAGATGAGTATCATTTATCATTAATTATAATATATAACTAAAGGCAAACTGAGCAAATTTGTTATTTCAAAAAAGAGTGTATCAGACTGGTAGCCCTTTGTATGACTCAGTACCCATGAAGTAGCTCTCAGTTTCAACAAGGTTGGTGACCCCTGGCCTAGAGACTGCTGAAATCCCAGCAATACCTGTAGTACTAAAAAAAATATTTATCAGTAAACCTGCATGTTGTGCCATCTGGAACTTTGAGAGTGTATTTGATAGCTTTTGTTGCAGAATACTCTGATAGAACTCTTATTGGCTTGTTTTCTCTCAGAAGGAATTTAAATTTGGATTTGTAACTTGATGGCCTTCATGAGTTTAGATTAAGTCTGTTGGGGTAATAGGTTCAATCACTGTCCACTGTCAACAGGCTACATGCTGGATTTGCTGAGGACTCAGGGGAGGAATGGTGCTGTGGCTTTGCTGGAGAGCTTGATGATCCACTACCCTACCCTGTACACCCAGGTCACTGGACGCAAACCCAGCACTGAGCCCTCAAGATTCAGCGGTCAGTGGTTTGAAGATGTCTGACTTTTTAAGGAGTTATCCATGTCTTTGTTTAATTGTCTGTCATTTGTACCACTGACCATCGTTCTCCTTTCAGGCCTGATAAAGTAC